TGCATGCTTCAAATGTTTTGAAATGAAGTTTTATTCCCGTTGTCCCGAGTAGCCCCAACCGACGGGGCTACTCGGGACAATCTCTATTTTGTGTCTGGCACCTTACGAATAGCATATGGAATTTTTTGACAACGCCATTCGATAGCCCTGCAAATCAGCTATAAAATGAGACTAAACTTGTTTATGAGATGTTTCATCGTAAGAAGTTATTAACTGTTATTTAAAACTAATCCTTCAAATCTGTCCCGAGTAGCCCCAGTTGACGGTAATCAATATTCTTTTTTTTTAATCAAATTTTTTCTTAACTGGAGCCTTTGCTAACTGAGGTTCTCCTGTAAATGGACTGTTGGGGGTGTCCCAAATAGCCCCAGGGGGGTGTCCCGAGTAGCCCCGCCATGCAGAAATGACCGCTATTTTTTTTGGAATGAGATAGGCAAAATCTGTCAATTACATTTTCAAGCCAACACCTGGGTGCAACTTATATGCAAGTAAAATTTTTTAATACGGTGAATATTTTTTTTACTACAGACCTTAACAGAAGTAACTTTTCAAAATATTGTTTTTCATCATTTTTTCAGGAATTTTTCAAAGCTAGTGAATGTAGTATTATTGAACTTCCTTTATACTACATAGATAGAAAAAATGTTGACCTTTACGCCACTATATTTAGTTTTGCAATATTCCAATTAGTTTTGCTACTAAAACAGTTTTATGCCATGTCGGAGGACTGTCCTGAGTTACCCGCCCATCCCAAGTTGCCCTGGTTGATGGTACTTGTATTTCCTGATTTCAAGTGGTAAAAAAATTAATAGATGATTAAGTTAAGAGACGGTTTTAGACACATAAAAACTAATTCCAACACAGCTTGGAATTAGACACACACAGCTCGTTCCGGCGTTCCAAGCTGTTTGCAATGCAAAAATTAAAATTTTCCTAATTAAAAGCCTAATAGCTCTTAATAAAAAGCCTAATTAAGTACCGCCAAACGGGGTAAAAAGGGACAGTTTCGAGCGTTTTTTTGTTGATAACTTCTTACCATGAAACATTTCAGAAACAAGTTTAGGCTCATTTTATAGCTCTTTGTGAGAGCTATCGAATGGCATCTCCAAAAAAAATTCCACATGGTAATTGTAAGGTGCCAGATGCAAAATAAAACCGTCCCAATTTACCCCTGGGAATGGGGTAATCCGTGACACTTGCAATAAAAGTTAATTTAAAACGTTTGAAGCATGCAGAGTGTACTCATTCATTACTAACAGTACTCTGAAGTCCTCCTCTTTCATTGTAGATGCTGTAAATGTAAAATAAATTACATTTTCTGTGATTTTCACTTGTTTTTCCTTTATTGATATATTACTATATTCATTAATTACTGTATTATTAATGTGATATTACTGTATGAATCCATGGACACACCATTGAGCATTGACAATGACCTTGTCCACTGCAAGCTTCATATCAGCAGCCATGTAGCATTTCTTCTGTATCTGTAAGCTTACAGGATGGCTTGTAATTTTGCACAATTTTAATC